ATGGGCTGGGATTCAAGGTCAAAGCTTTAAGGTTTCTGATTTCCATCTACGGTTGAATCGTGATGGAAACGACGTGGAAACGGCTAAGCACCCTGCTGAACGAAGCCAATGGCATCGGTGCCATCCGAGGCATAGTCCTGGAGGTAAATGAAATCAACGATATAGTGCTTTTGTTCAGGGCTGCTTTCTCTGCATGGTTACACCGACAGGGGTCGGTCACCAAAAACAGGCCGAACATGGAACATCAAGGACATAGATCCATGTTCTAGGTGCTTTACGTTGGCTAAGATGACTCCAACAGCGCAGTGGGGACGTGTGAGATGTGTCATAATTAAGCTGTAAGAGCAGCGACGACTTGATAAACCAAACCAACGATGCCGACGCCAACTGCAACTCAGTATTGAACCCGCTTGCACGCTCAAACCACATATAGACTCCTGTGTTCGTTAATGAACTTATATACCCATCGAATAACTCATGTCTTACATACTTCACTGACTTTAAATATGCACTTAGATCTTGAACTTACCATCATGAAGCAAAGCCTTGTCGACCACACCTGCGCCTGATGTCCTAATCTTTACCTGCTTGGCTAGATCCGTCACATAGGGTGTAGATCTCAACACTGAAGGGTGGAACATGTATAAATATGACCCCCTACTTGTAATTTTCGCCAACAATGATAAGTTGGCATTGGCGGCGGGCGGGTAAGTATAAGGGGGGAGATTACATATACCCCAGCGACATACGAGTAAAATTAGCTGCAAACGTGCCTTGCGAGGCACTGTCACACTCGACCAACTGCCCGTCTTAAGCTCATCCCTGTTATGCTGTCTTGTGAGTCGCGAGGAAGGCTCTAACATGTTCTAGCATGGACCGTCAGTTGTGAGCCGGAGCCCCTAACGCCCAGTTTCACAAATCTTTCATGGGTCGTTCTCTAAATTCGAGTCCCTTTTAGGTCCCCAGTATAGTTCCGGCACTCTTATAAAAAGGACCCTAAAAGTTACCCTAATTTAGAGAACTACCCTCATAGGGGTCACGGAAAGGGTCCGGGGTTTCAGGGTCTAGGCGTCAAGGCACCTAGGGCTTAGGGCTTTTAGGCTTTTAGGCTTTTAGGGTCTTAGGGTCTTTGGGTCTAGGGCTTTAGGGCTTTAGGGCTTAGGGTTTAGGGTTTAGGGTTAGGGTTTAGGGTTTAGGGTTTAGGGTTTAGGGTCAACATCCCCACAACTAACTAAGCATGAAGCTTCAAGCAAGACTCTCCCACGAAGCCGCTGATGAGCTTTGAACCCATAACACACGCAAACCCCGCGTCCTGTGGCTTGGCTGGGTCTCGATCGATGGACAGGTTCATCATCATTTCCCAAAGTCAGCAAACACAGAATTCAAGTGTTCGTGGGCTCAGGCTATTCTTCGATCTCGGTCTGATGGTTCAAGGTGTAGTTTCAGATCCGGTAAGTTACGGTCTATGTTTTGGCATAGTCCTTGTTGTATTCGGCTCAGTCTTCCAGCATTTTGAAACCTGGTGTTTGACAAGCAGCTCCAGCAGCAGTCGCACATGAAGCCCTATGCCCATGGCACAGAAAATATCATTGTGGCTTTGGGCCATTGTTTACGCCTAAACCCTAAACCCCTAAACCCTAAACCCTAAACCCTAAACCCTAAAACCCTTACTAAACCCTAAACCCTAAACCCTAAATCCGAAACACACACCAAGCTGCGACCTTCAACCCTAAACCCCAGAAACCCGAAACACACACTAATCCCTAAACCCTTAACCCCAAAACCCTAAACCCTAAACTGCGACCTTCAACCCTAAAACCCCAGAGTGCCTCTGCGGGACACCGCTCAACACAGGCCTTATACCCGCTCCCTGGCTCTTGCTGGTTTGGGGTTTAGGGTTCAGGG